AACTTTCATGCGAAGCCATGTTTCAATTGTATTCTCCATCACGTGGACCAATCAATTTCCTGCTCGCTAAACTACCTGGTACGGTAAAGAGATCGAGTCGCCGTCCGTCAGGCGGCGCTTGCACATTCATTCGCCTCGCCGATGCCTCGATATCTGGAGTCTCACAACTTGGATCGATTCACACACTTCCATTTGCGCAAATTAAACAAGAGTAGTGGGCTTTCATTGCATCTATGGCAGTGTTTCCCATCATATACATTATAAACAAACGTCGTTTCTATGTAACAGCCCCCAGACCAAGGTTAATTCCCATATATCCATACTCCAAGGGGCCTGTGTGCGCCATAACGTTACAATGAATGAGCCATCCAGGTATCAAAAACGTACTAAAAACTCCGTTGTCCTGCTATAATATGGCCGGTGTTACTTATCGTCCGTTGTTGAATCGCTTGTTCTTCATCTTCTCTTTACAATCATCACAGTACCATTTTGCTATACCATGTTAGTGACTGGTTCCTCTGGGTTATCAAGTGTGGAAGAGAGAACGTACCATTGCCCCTAGGCGCAATTTTGAGGCCCACACATTCGAGATGGAACCACTCCTTCTGGCAACTACCATTATCACAGGCTACCATCTCCCCGTAACTAACCCCATTGCAGTAACAGTAGGTAGGCTCATCTGCGTCTATTTCAATGTCTTCATCGTCGCCTTGCGCACTGCTTGTCGTATCATCGGGCTCCAAATTTTGTTGGGCAATAAGTTGAGCGGCTGCACCCGCACCTTTCTTATGACTTCTTTTGGCTGTAGATATGGTGTCTGGAATGCTGCGCGATGATCTTGAACGAGGCGGTTCGACGAAAGAAGGCATTGCCGGCGTTGAAGGTTTACTTGCTCTGCCGCTCTTTGTTGTTACTGTTGTTAATTGAATTCCCTGCATAGAATCTCCATTTGATTCTACAGTCTCCTCACGTTTCATACTTTCTCTACTGTTCCCTACTACTATGCCACCTAAGACTTCCGGATTTTGTGGTTGGGCATCCTCAAGGAGATGCTCTCCCTTGCCATTTGTACCAGCCTCTTTCATTGTTGCCTTTACTTCTGGGACAGTCTTCCCGGTTACACTTGCTGCTGCTGCCAGGTCAGGCGTGCCAGGCGTATTTCCGTTTAGCTTGTTCGAAGCTGAGGATTGAGTTTGTCGTATTGTATCCGCAAGTGATTGTACTGAATTCTGTCGAGCCCTTGCTGAAGCCGGTCTTCCACCATTTACAGGAGCAGGGGATGCTCGCCCCGGAGGTTTAATATCAGGAAATGTAGTTCGAATTGGGGAGGATGCTAATGAGGGCGACATTGCAGAAGTTGTCGTATTGTTCCTAATTAATCACTGGTTAGCGGAATTCCTTGCTCTCCGATTGGGAGTAAGTGATATACCTTTTTCTTGCTTGTCCATTCGGTGCCGCTCTAGCTCTGGCCGGTTTTTTTGTTCCATCTGGTGCTGGAGTCGCTCTGGGACTCGCTGCCTTTCCCTTTGACGCAGATCCATTGATACCAAAAACGCCATTCAAAACACGTTCCGTTGATGGACCGGCATTCGCAGTTTTCTCAACCTTTCGCCTTTTCGGAGGATTTCCATTTGTACCATTTCCATTCGTTATCCCAAGTCCAACATTCGTTGGTGTCTCGGCAGTAGCAGTAGCAGCTTTCCGAGCTTTGCTATTTCCGTGTGGTCTTTTATTTGAATCTGCCTTTCTTCCTTCGTGAGTATCATCGAAATCTGAGTCTGCATGCTGGGTTTTGGCTCCTTTCCTTGCAAGCAATGCTTGCTTCCTAGAATCACTCCTCGCAGCGTGTTCTTCTGCCACTTGCTGGGCCGCAGCACTCGTATTATTGACAGGAGGTGCATCCCTTCTGGAGCTACCAACAGGATTCGCCTTAGATGTTCTGTTCTCGGGATATGCCCAATGTGTAGTACTGCCGTGTCGTGCTTCTTCGCTCACTTCGTTCTCGATGTGCGGGAAACATTGATCAAGACGCGAGAGTTGTTTATTAAGTGCTTCGCCAGCCGTCGAGATGACATGGTTTTTCTCATCAAGAGAAACCAACATATTCTGCATATAACTAGCACATGCTTGGAATTGTCGTCTTCTAGGCATGTTAGGAGCATGATAAATAGCATACGCTGGATTGACGGGAGCGAACGATTCCCCTTGCATCTCCGTCAACGTGCTCGCGGGGCCGCCGTTGCCGTTTGTTAACGAACCATTCAAATTGGATAAGCCATGAAGCCCATTTGTAGATGCTGATCTTGAGTTGGCAGGATAATTGAGTGTTGTCGGTGGTGGGGTGTTGAGCGCAATGTCGACGAGTCTTGCAAGCTCTTCTTCTGGCCCAAATACTTTCGCATCAACTTCTTTCAGCAATGTAAAGTGTCGCACGAGTTCCTTTGGCAATGCAGATATAGCGTCTGCGAACTGGGTTATTGCAGGGAATATTTCGACGGTCTGATCCGCATTTGGTACTCCATCACCGCCGCCAATCGAACCTCTTGATCCCAAAGGTCGAGAGCCAGAGATAGAGGTTCTAGGTGGATTGTTTCGTGTTTGCCGTAGAGGCTGAGCTCTGCGGCTCGAAGAGGGGTCCGAAGGAGGTGCTTTTGTGGATTTCATCGTGTGTATCGACGTAATTTTCTATGGGCAAGATGAGGAAATCGAGGAGGAAGTTGTGCGACACGCGCAAATTGGATTCAAAGAGATTCCGAGTGTAATTTTTAACTTTCGAAGCCCATTGGGAACTGACATTAGATTCGAGCAAGTCGTCTCAGCATTTGAGATTGTTAAGACGTATGCTAACTTTGTAGAGTAGCAGAAGATCTGGGTGGGTGATCACTCCGGTCTTGCTAGGGTAAATGTGTGGGCAGAATTAATTCACCGCCCAGATTGAGCTAATTACGGTGGCCTGCAGGCTTTCAAGCTTAAACTGCCGAGCTCAAGTGAATTTATTTTTTGATATCATTGTAATGTGAATAATACGAAAAGAGACAATTGAATGTCCTCATTAATCTGTAGAACCTCTAGATACATCCCACTACTTTCGAAAGGATATGCTCGACAATCATCTTATTACCAACATTGAAAATGCTGACTTCCATAGTAAATTATCGGTATCAATTATCATCCCAACTCCCGAATCCCTTCTATAATGCCATTGCCCGCCCCAAAATTCCTTGGATATCTAACAATTTTTGATATTTGATGCCTTGATTCCTTTACTTTGCGCCTTTTCTTCAACATGCTTCTGTTTCCATTGCCATTCTACCAAGACAGGTAGAAACTGCCACAAATCAAATTCAGGCCACAAACAATCCAAGAAAACTATCTCTGTTTCCTCATGGCATTGCCATAACATGAAGTCGCTTAATCTATTAACTCCACTCGTTCGAATCAAGAGATCTAAAGGAGGGTCCCCAGCAGTGAATAGGTTTTCTCCAAGCGTGTCTATGGATATTGATTCGGGATCGGGGAATACTCCAGCTTCGGGGCTGCTTATTGGCGACAGCTCAGGATTTAGGGTTGTAGAGGATGATACAGATTCGTCCGGTTCGGATATGTTCGACGGAGTAGGAGAGCTTGCTCTTAGGGCTGACTTCGAGGTAGAATTGACATTTCTTGACTTGAGCTTTTGTGTTATTCGAGTCTGCGAAAAAGGTCGCTGCTGTGTATGTGTTGGTTTTGAGTATTTTTCTACAGTAGTCTTAATCGCGGTTGTGATTTCATCTCGAGATGTGTATGGGAAGCAAATGTTGAGTGCGCAACTAAATGGTGTTAGTAAATTAGACTTAACAGCGTTGACATAGCCCAACTTACTCTCCGTTGTTCTTTGTCATGTCCACAGCTCTATCGATGGCTTCCAAAACATCATCTTTGACTAAATTCCTCTGGCCAAGAACTCGAACGCTCGCTCCGTATCTGTCCAGAAGATCTCCATGTTGCGCCAATTGTACCATCTTAACTTTCGCCATTTCCATGAGAGCATCTACCTCGTATTTCGAGCGTTTGAAGTTCTCTATACTGAAGGCGTAAACGGTTACCACTTTCACTCCAGACTTATAGCAGACTTCTAAGATCTATAAATTGTATTAGCGGGAGCACATCAACACTTTTTGCCAGACAACAAACTCTTGCTAGAGCCTCAAATCCCAGATTGTGCCCCTCAACTGTTTCTATCTTGTGACTTCGCGCGAATCGCCTGTTCCCATCCATCACAAATGCCACATGTTGAGGAATAGGACCTTGTCGCAATGCGCCAATGAGTAACTCTCTCAGCTTATCAATGCCCCATTCGATGGGCGGCGAGGCTAGCATCCATTTCCGGAGCTGCGAGACATGCCTCGAAGACATGCTTGATGTATGAAGGGATGCAGCACAGCAGGAGGAACCTAAAGCTGTGTGACAAGGGATTGATGAGGATTCGAGCTAGCTATCGAAGTATGGATTCAAGAGAAAAATGCCTTTCTGTTAAATTTTGGCGAGAATTCAGAATTCGGTATGTTGAAGTAATTGAATATTTGAACGCTGACGTATCCTTATAGTTTGCGGGGATACTGAGTGGTTACCGGTACAATGATTGACATTCGTAATTCTACTCGAAGTCGTAGCGGCGATGTTTCTTTTCCGAGTCTCGAACGAGTCCTCTTGCGCTCGGTACGGGCCCTCGGGCCAATTAGATCAAATTAATATATATCAATATTATTACTTCCTCGCAAATACCTACCTACCTAGGTATTCCAAAATTTGGTTTCCTTCACATATATATGATCAAGGTCACCGGTACTTTCAAAATAGATTCTGATTTCGCATTATCGGATTTTATTATCGGAACTTGGGACGGCTAATAGGTGCCTATCTGGCTAGTACCTCCTATTCGAGATTTCACTGCATACAATGCAACGCTAGGAGGCATATCTACACATCATGGCAATAATGGCAAGGGCTAGTTGTAGTGCTTACCAGGCCAGCTTGATTGTGTCACGAAACTCTGGGCGAGAGATATACTGTCCTTCTTCGCTAGGCGTATCGATGACTGCGACGTATAAAGCAATACTCCTTTTCATATTCCAGAGCCAACTATCAACCAGATGATCACTCTGTTTCTGACATACCAAGCTATCATGCTTTAGATCTGTTGGATGTCTGTTGGTAACTGTTGGTTTCTTCTCCACTTGCATTTTCTATATCTTCTTGCCTTTCCCAGAGGCACCATGCGAAAGCTTCATTCACTACCTCAATATTATCCTGTTGTCACTCTCTGAACCCTTTACACGACTTCGTTTTCAGAATGCTCGAGACTAGTTCGCTCATTCTCACGGGATTCTTGTCCATACTGTTATATGTCGTTGTGATAAGTCGAGCAAACAAATTCAAGACATTGAACCATCAGCATGGCTGCGAGCATCCTGTCACTTACCCCCACATCGATCCGATCTTTGGACTTGACCTAAAGCTACAAGAAATTAGACAGTCTTTAAAATATCAAGGCATTCCCTTTATGTCAAATCTTCATATAAAATACGGTAAAACAATCTGGTTGAACAACTTGGGTACTTCGGACATAAGGACCATTGATTCGGAAAATCTGCGAAATGCTTGGTCTACCAACAATTCTGACTGGGGTTACCAACCTTACAGGCTTCCTGTGATGGGACCGTTTTGTGGACGTGGATTTATCACCACCGATAATGAGGAATGGCAAAAAGCTAGAGTTCTTCTTCGACCTACGTTCAGCAAAGCGAATATATCAAATTTAAGTCCGTTCATAGCGTTGACTAAGGCCTTCTTTCAAGGCATTCCACAAGATGGTCACACAACAGTCGACTTACAAACTCCCCTAGCAAGTCTCGTAGGTACAAATGATGAACACTTGTGTGGCAACGGGAAGATTCTAACTATGGTTTCAGTTCGTTGGCACTTCCATGAAGTTTGTTTTAGGGGTTACTCCCAGACCCGGCGCCGATGGAAGATCGGACGAGGTGGCTGCTTTTCTGAAAGCCTTCCAAAAATCTTTCATTGGTATGGGACTCTCATTTATGCTAGGTCCCTTGCAGTTCCTCATTCCAAAGTCAATGAAATACAAGGCGTATAAGGAAGTTCAATCATATCTCGACTCACTCATTGAAACGGAGATAAGTGTAGAAAATGAAGCTTCCAGCTCCCATTTCAATGGATCAAATCCAAGGAGCCTCCTTCAAGGTCTAATCAAAGAAACTGATGATCTCATTGAGATTCGCGACAATGCTTTACAGGGAATGATGGCTGTTCAGGACACAACTCCTGTTCTCCTCAGCAACACACTATTTCTTCTCTCACGTAACCCGAAAGTATATGATAGATTACGGAATGAAGTTCAGTCATTGGATCTAGAAGAATCGCAGCATCTGTACGATAAGTTACGCGGTTTAAGCTTTCTTCATAATATCATTAACGAATGTAAGACAACCTAACGTTTCTTTACTACCAGCATACTATTGCGTGGCCAAACTAATCATTCGCAGCACTTCGCCTCTTTCCAATTTTCCCAGCCCTTGCTCGTATCTCATTGACAGATACAACTCTACCAAAAGGAGGAGGTAAAGATGGCAACTCCCCGATCTACGTACCTAAAGGCACGAAGCTTTGGGCAAATTTCTATGGCTTACATCGTATTGAGTCCGTGTTTGGTCCTAACATTGAATCCTTCGATCCAGATAGATGGTACTCTATCAAACCTAGTCCTTGGGAATACATGCCCTTTGGAGGAGGGCCTCGTGCTTGTGTGGGCCAGAATAAAGCATTGGTAGAGGCGTCATATATGCTAGCAAAATTTGCGCAACTTTACAAGAGAATAGAAAGTCGAGATGCAAGAGATTGGGCGGGTCAGCGGAAGTTGACAGCAAGTAATGCGAATGGGTGTAAAGTTGTGTGTGTACCAGCATGACGGTACATTTTCTTTCGAATTGGGTGGATTCTGTTAAAGCTTATTCAGACATTCCATCCTGGGGTTTGGCACGGAGTGCTTGTGATTGGAATGTAAAATTACCCTCAAAATACATCAAGATATCTTGCCGCATATTTGAGTGATAACGTTGCACTTTATTAATGCTCTAAAAATAGGAATGTTTATAAGGTTCCTAGTATGGAATTTTGCCAGGTAGTCTGGGGTGATCTGACGTTTCCAATTCACGTATATAATAAATGAAGTAGAATTTGCGAGTGGTTTCTTTCGACAGAGTAATCCCATCTCACATCTAACCTATACCTGATTTCATTAAACAAATCAAACATCACCTTGACGATGCCTCGGATCAACCAATCACTCCTCTCCCTCGCTACCCTCGCCATCCTCCTTGTATTGTGCCTTCAAGTCCAAGCACAAGCTCCCTCCGGGCGTCCAATCACCAGCGCCCGTACCAACGGGACGTTGTAAGTTTTCTACCTTCTTCTTACCTTTTTGACACCTCGTTTTTCATCCCAATCTTCAAGTTCAAACTAATGATGAAAATAGTCATAATAGTACCAGCACACGCAAAGCACCCACAAGCACGAGAACGGTACCGACACTCACAGACTCCGGGGGATTCGCTACGGGAACAAGTTTCGTTAATGCGGGTGAGAATATGTCTCCCGTTGCGATTGGGGGACTTGTTGTGTTTTTAGGAGGACTTTTGGCGTTTTGAGGGAGAGGTTGGGAATGCGCTGAGTGAGTTTAGGTGTTTGAAATCTTGGGGGAGATTGGGTCGTTGGGGGCCGGGAAACGAGGGATGATTGAGTCAAAACTGTTTGAAGCAAACGATTCTAAGCGTATTCAATACTTCATGGATGGGGAAAATAAGACAATTTTAATGTGAGACATCATCAAGTTGTGAGCATGAAATTGGAAGTTTAGAGCAGGATGAATGAGGATATTTGCCGTTGTCTAGGTAGATTGATATGCAATAATGTTTGGATGACATTACCTGGCGATGCCCTTCGATTTCATGCAAGGACGAAAGGGTTTCATATTATAGCACTGAACTTCTGTTGGCCTTAGTGCCAGCATCTGATACCTCGTTAAAGGTCGACAAGAAAATGTAAAACCAGCGAAAACCTGAATGTCTATTGGATGCCTATTCTATATATGATACAAATAACGCCAGCGACTCCTTGCAAACCCATTTTTTTTCTTCTATTTTTCTCCGATTATCAAGCTCGCTGCCTGTCTCAGGCTTTGACTTAGTCCTGACCGTCGACCTTCTCGTCAGTGCAGCGCCTCCAGGAAGTTGATTCCCTTCTGCTCGCCTCCCACCCCGCTCCCTATATCCCCTCTGTCCTTACAGAGAGTTTCACGCTTTCTTACTGCATCTTCAACCAACTTCCTGCTGGGGGGAGTAAGCGGAAGAGATGTCTGGGTTCATAGAATTAATTCCCTTCGAGCTTTCGGAGAGTGGCATCTCTCTTCTTTGTCTTGGTGTTATCAGAATCGGAGCTGTCTCTACCTGTTTGGTGTTAGTAAGCGTACAAGTAGGAATCAAGTATATGTCTTACCACTGTTTGAAGATTTCCCTTCGAGCTTTCGGAGAGTGGCATCTCTCTTCTTTGTCTTGGTGTTATCAGAATCGGAGCTGTCTCTACCTGTTTGGTGTTAGTAAGCGTACAAGTAGGAATCAAGTATATGTCTTGCCACCACTTCTTGGAGGACTCTCAAGTAAAGAGCTGCTAGGCCGGAAATACCTCTCTCCAGAGGAGGCTTTGCTCGGGGCTGCTTGCTCCTTAGACTTTCCACTTCTTTCGCCGCTAGACCTATCACTCCCGTACTTATCAACAAAACTTTCCAGTGTGTCCCTGTGTCCAGTGGCTTTGCCTTTGCCTCTGTTGTTTTGAGAGTTGCTGGAATTCATGTTTGTAATTTGTTATTCGAATATTTCAGTATTCGGGTGTTCTGTGCGAGCTTGGTAGAAGAAGGTCAAAGAAGTGATTGCGATGAGAAAGATGGTAGTAATGTTGATGAGATTGAGACAACGGCACTCATCAAGTCATATTTATATTTATTTGAGCCAGACTTGTCGCTCGCATTGTTGGAATATCGTGTGCCATATTGACATAATGGAGGGAGGCCAGTGTCACCTCGACCCAAATGCCTCAACAGGATGTCTCGAAGCCACATGAAAAGCGGATTCAATTTGGTCATATTGATGTTGGAGTTATATTACGTTATACCCCATGGATTCGGGCTGGTAGCAAAAAAGCAAACGTGAATGACGTGAAGGGTCAATGAAAAATCGTCAATAGCCAAGTCGAACAGTCAACATGTCGAAGGCTCACACCTGGAATTCTAAACATTCACTGAAGATATCCCAGTACAACACCCCAGAAAGAATCGGTCAAGAAGCTCAAATTTACGGGCATAAGATATTCTCAACTCAGTATCAATGTATTGAGAATGGACATTACCCCAACATCTGGCATGACAAGGAAACTGCGGATAATATCCATAGTGGGCCAACCACGCCGACGACCATGATCTTCTCATACACCAACAAATTACTAAGAATAGGTCAACAATGATGATCGGCCGTCGGCTACTCGACCAGGCGCAAAGCCACAGGAGCTCGTAAACTCCCGGCCTTAACCCAACTTCGGCACTCGCGAATGAGCTGGTGAAGCTCGGCTCCAGAAACATGTTTGAATGTAAGCCAGATGGTCAATTTAAAGGGCTTTGTTGAATGTAGGGTACACTTGCAAACCCAAAAACAGCATCTTGAAATATGCAAGTCATGCCATCTGCATGTAAGTTGCGCAAAAGATTCCATTTTTATAAGGTTTCATGCTTGTGGAGGTTCGCCGCACTATTCGAATTACCGCTTTTCGATTCGAACGTCCCATACATTGCTTTACAAAGGAATATTTCATATGTTGAGCGACCGGGTCCCCACACCCAAATTGTACGTAGTCTGATTTTAACATGTATATCTTCAATATCTTACACTTCATGTAGGTTGGAATCCAGAGGCGCAGCCACTGTGGTAGCATTAGCTTCATCATTGTGCCGCGGTACAATCATGTGAATCATCATTGCCCTCATCATCCTTAGCTTCCCAAACAGCCGCCTTCATATTGCCCCGCTTTCTCATATTGTTGGCTATATTTCTTGGTATTCCAACCACCAATACCCTTCTTCTAATGACTCAAAGTACTTCTTCTCTTCGATTTCCTCCTCTGCAGAGTCGCCCTCCCCTTCCTCGTCCTAATTCTACTCAAAAATCCATGTCTCCTCTTCCTAACAAAGTGACTCGGACTGAACGTATTTCTTGGTCCACAACGTAATTGTGTTGTGCTCAAAGCGGGATGGGTTGAGATCTTAGGAAGGAGATCTAGAGGTGCTGCTTCTGAAGGAATGACTACAGACGTTGAGGGTTTGAATGCGGAGGAGGATAACGTGGGTCGGAGGGGCGTGATTGAAGTAAATGTTCTGTAAAGTTGTTAGTGTAAGACATGGCTGTGTGAATTGACAAATATCTACCTTTTCACAACGATAGCATTGGATTGTGAAAGCGCCCTTGTTATAGTTGGAGTAGCCCTAAGACCATGAGAGCAGCGTAGACACAACATTTTGCTACAATTTGTGAATATCTTAACCCGGACCAGATTTCGAGGTTATCCCCATGCACTATCAAAATCAAAAAACTACGCTAGCGGACATTTTTCCGCCTCAGTCGCAAAAAATCTCGGGGCTTCATGAAACTTCTTGTTTGCATACTTCGAAAGTCGATTTCTGGCATTTGTCGTACATTTATTTAATCTTTACAACTCCGACCAAATCTAGTCATATTTAAGACTCAATCAACATGTCTGCATCGGCCTTTCCACCCCACAGATCAATCCCTTCGATCCCTGTCAACCAAACAATTGCTCTCAAATACCTTCAAGATTATCTCTCTCTCACATCCAGCACACCATATCTTCTCCCAAACGCCAAACTCGAGCCTACGGGTCCTACTATCGGGAGCAGTCACTCCAGCGTTACGATCCACAATCTTCAACGTGTTGAAGCTGGTCTGCGCGGAGAATGGGTTGCGCCAACATTAGAAATGGAGGAGGAAAATCCAGTCGAGATTGCGCAGGGTTTGGAAGATGCAAGCGGGGGCGACAAGATGGATGTAGATGGGTGGCAGGATAAGGAAGAATTTGAGAGGGAGCAGAGTATCGAGGAGGGAGATGTTGGAGCTAGGGCCCAAAAGGTGAACAACGCGGAGGTTGATAGTGATCTTGAGATTGAGCCAAGTGCAAAGGTAGCTCCAAGTTCGAATCCACCCAAAGCATGGATTAGGAAGGAAAAAGCAGAACGAAAAGCCGAAAAGAAGGCAAGACGCAAGGCAGAGCTGAAGGCGAAGGAAGCGAAGAAACAATCCACAGCATAATGAGCACGACGAACTACAAGTCACGAATTTTTGATGCGTTTTAGCGAGGTTAACGGAAATCTTCGTATTCAGTCTATACCGTACATCTATTCAGAGGTTTCCTCGTAATTTAGAATGCTGTACATCTACAATTCTCTGCCACTAGCTTGTGCGGTCTTCTCATCCTTTGCAGCCGCTGGTGCAACTGGACCGCTCGACTTCCATCCCAAAGCACCTAATCTCTCCGACAATATTGGATGGGAGAAATGATAGCTTGCATACATCCAGTCCGCATCCATAGTACTCAAGTTCTGGATCTGCAATTTTATCAACGAACGAGCTAGCTCAGCCTGGTATCCAAGTCCTTGTGCGAAGTCATCTGCTTCAAACTCGTACTTTCTGCTGAGGATATTCATCAACAGCTTGATGACTGTGTCCATAGGGGCAAGTGCATCAGAGAACAGGATGAACCCTATTATGATTGGGAACTCGTTATGGAAACCAAATGATTGGTACAAGGAGTGGTTGTTGATGAAGACGGAGAACAGGGAGAAGATGTAGAAAAAATGGGCCTGTAAATAATTAATGACAATCCCGTAATAACCAACAGAAACCTGCTTACCTGAGAGATTCCAAAGAGCTTTGTAGTATGTCCCCGGCTCCAGTGACCAAGTTCATGAGCAAGAACAGCTACAATCTCTTGTGTATCGCTCTTCTCGATCAGAGTATCATAAATGACGATATGCTTCTTCCATGGTAGACCGAAGAAATAGGCATTACTATGAGCACTGCGCTTGCTGCCGTCGATAACATGCAATTCGTGAAGAGGGAAGTTCAAGCGCTTGGCCAAAGCCTCGACGCCATCTTTCAATTCTCCGGGTTCGAGGGGCGAGAGCTTGTTGAACAAGGGCAAGATCGTGATCGGGTAGACTGTAATCATGAAGACCTGGAGTCCAGCACCAAACAACCACAAGTAGTAGAAGAATTGATGGCCGGTTTTTTGTATGATCGTGAGAAAGCCAGCGAGGATCGGTGGAGTCAATGTAAATGCCAACATCTGTCCCTTTAACATGTCCGTAACGAAGAGTTTAGGCGTCTGCTTATTGAAACCAAACTTCTCCTCCAACACAAATGTCTGGTAGATTGAAGTTGGGAGAGAAATAAACTGTTGAATTACAATAAAGGTAAGGACGAAAACGATTGAGTGAGAAATCTCGCCGGTGAATCGAGCGGGTGCAAGTCGTAGAAGCCATGATCCAGTGAAGTCCCAAAGTTTGGGAAGAATGTCGAAATAGATGAATGCCGTGTTTTGAATTTGTCCATAGAGTCCTGCAACGAAACCGAATTGTGCTTTTGCGCGTCCATATGCCTTTTGGGAAGTCAGCGAGTGGTAGTGGGGAGATGGTAAGGCTGACAATAACATACCTGGCTTTTGTCGAAAACTTCTTGCGAGACTTCATTGGAGAGAACCTTGGGTGGACGTGTTTGCTTTAAGACTTGATACTGACGGAGAGAGAGGAAACCTTCGAATAGGTATTGTGCGAGAGAGAACCCAACGATGAGCTTCTTCCATGGGAATAGTGGCCTATCGAGGGAACGCGCAAGGCGCTGGAATGAGATGGTTAGTATTTATTATCAAGATACTATCAACTGAGATACAATTGGGAGAGTTATACCTGAAGGAAATCCATGTTTAAACCAATATTGAATTGAATAGAATGGGTGTTCAATATTGAAATGGATTGTAGGTTGATACCTCTAAATGAAAATAAAAGAGTGGTCTTGTTGTTAAGAAGGTGGAATTGAAGGATTATTAGGGACTAATAAGGTAGTATGTCTTGCCTTACCTTCAGAAGGTAATCCATCCACCAACGCCTTCTAAGGCTCCCATCTCACACCTGACCTGCTGTTTGTTTTGACAACGTTTCACTTGAAACGACCTACTCTCAACATGTTACCAAGTCTTTATCAATACCTTCAATTCACCCAATGAATTTCTCAAATGTCAGAAGTCTGATTGATCATGGTTATGTGATGCTTTGAAATATTCCAGAAGTTTTCGCCGTTGTACAGCATTTCTTCAACACCTTCATTGATTCGCAAATATGCTCCATTAGCAATCAATCTATTCATTCAAACACCCACATGGAGAGTTCCAATGCAATTTCAGGCCATATTTTCATTCCACCGGTCAAATCCTCTTCAAGTCATGATCTCATTCTTTCCCGTCAATACCCGAGGGAGACGTTCTCGAGCATCTTCATGAGAGCCTCTGGATGAAGTGCACAGCGTACCATGCAAAGAACCAGAGTAAGCTACCGATATATTCTCTTCTATGTTCAATAGCCATACTTTAAATCGGAGAATAATCGACCGCTAAGCACCGATGTTAGTCAAAATCATGAACAGGTGCTTCAAGTCGGCGGCAAAGGAGAAAATTTAGAAGCCGATGGATGGCAGCCACCCAAGTGTGTATTTGTGAGTCACAGCTGTTCCATTGGTCAATCTTCACGGATATGCAAAAAACTATGTAATTGTACTACATAATATGCATAATGTCTAATCACTCGCGGTGTATTGAACGTTACATTGCCATAGAATGGCAGTCGGGTTATTTGAAGCTTTTGACAATTCCGTGGAAAGCACAGGGAGAGAAACATATAAAAGGGTAGCGGGTCACTCAGATGTGTGAATGTAGAGATCACCATAATCTTCCACAAGAACATTAAAAGCACAATACACATACTTTCCAGAAGTCAAGAACAGTCCACTTCGGCTCAAGGACTACTTAGCCAGTCAATCAGAGCCAATCGAATATCATCATGCCTCACGCAATTGAAACAAGAATCGATGGAGAGCCACCCTACTCTGAGATGACGTTGAGAGAATCCCTCATCGCACGGCACTCAAGCCGTGCCTTTCTTCCAACTCCAGTCCCAGATTCCATCTTACAATCCACTCTCGACCTCGCTCGCTTCGCCCCCTCAAATTCCAATATCCAACCCCATCTCGTTTTCCTTCTCACGGGCGAATCGTTGGAGAATCTCAGAACCAAGTTATTCACTGCTGCATCAGAATCCACTCCCAATATCCCACCCCTCCCTGTTGGATATACCCACTACCGCTCTGAGGTTGGCCGTCAACTCTATGGCGAAGGGATGGGAATTCCACGATCCGACTCTAAAGCTCGCAATGCAGCCGTCCTTCGCAATTATCGGTTCTTTGGTGCACCCGTAGGGGCGATAGTATGTATCGATAAAACCCTGACGAATGCAGATAGAGTCAGTGTTGGAATGTGGTTACAGAGTTGGTTATTGGCGCTTACGGAGAGAGGAGTGGGCTCTTGTGTGCAGATTTGTCAGACAGGATATCCGGAATTGGTGAGGAGGGAATGCGGGATTACTGATGATCTAGAGATTTTGGTAGCGGTATCGATCGGATACGAAGATCCGGATTTCAGGGCCAACGGGCTGAGGCCAGCAAGGGACGAATCTAAGAAACACGTTACCTTTATGGAATAAAATTTCAAAGAAAATCAGTCCCGGGCCATGTCTAGGGTTGATAGAGTTTTGATCTGAGTATTGTCCGGAAAACGTTCACTTTGCACGAGTATAAATTTTAAAATAGACCACAGTAATAATTATATCATTTATAAATGCCTCCCGATTCCTGTAATTATCGAGTACTGAGGCAATGGCCACATACTCTGGTTATCACGAGTAACCATGACACATCCATCTTTGACAGAACTCAGACGGCAGAAACACCATTTTCCATACCCTATTTTCTAGATTCACTATTGTGACTTCGACGGAAGCTTGTCTACCTATCTAGGAAGTCCTTTCCATTTTCCCCCTTGATCAAGTCTACCCTCAACATCTTGCGATGCCATTCAAGTTTACCATTCACCTTCATATCAACTTCGGCATCAACACATGATACCCCTTAAAAGACATCTTTCTTTTCTCCAAATTGCTCTGACTTTCAGCGATTAACATCCCAATAATCACAGCAACTATTCTTTACATCTACAAATATTCAAGTCTTCCCATCTTAAAATCTTGGTCTACAGTCACGCATGAATGGGTCTATTTTCAAGAATCACTATATTTTAGAAACAGATCGATATCTTTATAAATATGGCATCAAGCAGCAATAAATTCTTGGAAAACGTATGTAGACCGATCCTCCATAATCCAGAATAATTTCATCATTTACTAACCCTGTATCCATAGCGCCCCGGATCATCTTCCAAGCAAACTCGCTCCAAAGATCCAATACCACTCCCCCCCTTCGACGCTATCCCTAATCGCGTAACTCCCAGCGCACACCTCGCCATGCCATTCATCTCCATTCTCATCGGCGTCTCCTCGCGTCACCCTACAAAACCCATCTACGCTATCTATTCCCCCAACATCGCCTCTCTCCAATACGTACACGGAGACGGCACTCTCGTCGAACCCCTCTCCATCTGTCCGCTCCTCACCTTCAACAACGGCGATAAACTCTGTTCCCGTCAACGCCTCAACATAATCGAATGCATGAATCGCTCTGCACGCTATTATCAAATGATACACTCCCCCTCCTGGAACGAAGACGGACCCAACGAGAAAACCTTCCGCGGTCCCTTCACCAACGAGAAAAGCGTCAAAGAAGCCCTAACCTACATATCCGATCTTCGTTTCGGACCCGACAACACAGCAGCTCTGAGAACCCTTCCTCTCGATCGTCATCTCGTTTCTAATCTCCCAGATCCAAGCTCTCCCTGCGTATCTCTCACCGCACCTCCGACTTGGGATTTTAGTGTTCACCACGCCGATTTTACCGATCCTTATCTCGATCCGGCTCACGAAACTAAATTGCTAGACTATTTTCCAGACATTCATCCAACGCTTTCGAAATCACGTTTCGTATCCAATTTTCAAAAAGGCGGCGTATGTTCTCGCGGGCATGGAACAAGTCGGTGCGATTTACTGGCAAAGCGGACGAGAAGCGGTCAAAACACAAGGAGGATGGACGGTTGATGATTTCTGGCGAGGTTTGCGAAGTATGAACAATTTACCAAGGAGTGGAAGTTTTTGCACGCGCCGAATCCGGTTGCGTGGTTGGAAGCAGAGCTGGCGGATGAGGCGCGGAGGGAGAGAATGGGTGGGAGGAGAAGAAAATCTCCGTGGATGGGATTGGTGGAGGGAGTCGAGGTGGTGGAGGTGGTGAGTTGGCAGGTGCTGGGTGAGTTTTATTGGGATAATGGAGAAGAGGGAAGGGGATATCCGAGAGTGTTTCCTCGTGAGGATGATGACTTTGAGGATGTTGGTGATCCCGAAATTGTGATAAAGGATGAGGATTCAGGAGAGACCGAGGCGCGAAGTGGTAATTCGTGTGAGCAGAAGTATTATAGTGAGTCGACCAAGAAAGGACATGGAAAGAATGGAAAGAGAAATTGGGAGGTATACGACGACAGTCCGGCGATGAAAAGAGCAAAGTCGGCTGTGCTGAATATGATTTCAGGTTCTTGATGATTATTTTGGTTTCTGCAGAATAGTTGATCGTGGATTTAGTGGATATCAGATCACTGATCACAAGGGAAGCAGATGAAGCTTCGACGATGTTTTTACTCTACCATTTGAGATCGAGGTGTCAAGTTATTCAATGATTTAGCTTCTTGGTAACCATAATGAGTTATTATCATTGATGATACTATGCTAGTGGTCTACAGATATCCTTTTCAAGATCGCCTACCTCTACCTACTTATGTACTCTAAGCAATTCATTAATCCCCACATAGGTGTTCAAGATTGATATCATCCATTGGGGTCTTGATTTGTCCAATCCTTGGTGTGTAAATGCTCCAGACATAATTGCTTGTTATCACACAGCATCTTTATAAAAATCCTCCAAGTTGCAATTTACACGTTCTTATATCATTACAATCTCATCCGATTTCCTCGGAACACATATCTCTCTTCAAATTGCGGCCGTAGAATCACATTCCCGGGTTGAATATTATAAACCCAACAATAGTGACCCCTTCCACGCCATTTTACTCAGCCCGTCGCTGCTCTTGTTGTAATAATACACTGGATACTCAACAAATGTAAAATTACGATATACGACTAAAAGTCCCACGAATGGCGTACACGACTAAGAAATTGCTATTGTAATCAAAGTAGTGAAAGGCCAATGATGTATGAGAGCATGATCAAGAGGGCAAGGAGGTACAAGTAGCAAGTAGTCGTGATTCAATTTCAACACGATTATATGAAGATATTTCGTGGTCACCGACTGTGATTATTGTTGAGATGAAGAAGAATAAAAGCGATGAAAGAATTTTCGATTGGAGAGGAAGGGGCTTATAATCGGACTATTGAGCATTCCTTTTCTTTACGAAGAAGATATCAATTCGAAAGACTACTGTAATGATTGTTCATTCCCTTAGCACACGAAAATCCATATCAAATAAAAAATGCACCAAACTGAGCACTCGAAAATAACAACACCACTTTCGACACGAAAAGAAGATTTCTTCCTTATTATGAAAAAGCAAAAATTCTTGTGGATTGATGGGGATACGACTTCCCAATTAACACAGCAATGCAGAACCTTGACATGCCCAGAAACAACTTTTGGGAGAAGGATAGAAAAATATAACAAACATCACTCGTGAGATTCACTTGAATACTCAAATGCCTCAACTGGTGATGTTCGGTATGCCCTCTCTAGGATTACCAGTAATCCACCACACCCCTAACCCCCGTCATCCGACAGGCTCCACCGGTACAATCCCTCACGTTGCTTTTCAAAGAAGAAAAGAAAAATGTACAATGCATCACCACGAGAATGGAAAAGCAGTCAGCATTTAGAGTGAAGGATAACTCGCAAGATTGTCTACTTGAGGAAGGCACCCAGTTCTGCGTATTGTGCTGCGTGTGCCTGCAGATGCAGATGCCAATGCAGATGGAGATGCAGATGCAGATGTAGATAGATGTGAAAAAATTGATAGCCATCCACCAGATCTAACTGCCAGATTTCTTTCCCGACCCCCACGAATTTACCTCGAATGAGTTGCAAGAGCTGGTCCAGACGGTCGAAAATTCAAAGACCCCAATGGTTCGTCAGGATTGGCTTTGCCGTAAGCCTGCAATACGCGGGGTTAATGCGCAGGCATATTCACGGCGATATGTGATAAGTATCACATAAATGGATCAAAACCCTGGCCAGAAGATGATCCTGCGTGTTCTATTCTCATGTCGCTGTTAAATGTAAATTTCAGCCGTAGTGGGTGGGTGACATGCAGTTACGACTTCACGGGACGTTAATCCCTAATTGAATTCTTCGATGTTCATCATTAACGATAGATCGGATTGATTATCAAGCAGCTACGCATAGCTACGCATTAGAACTATGTTCTACTCGACGTTAGAAGTTTGATATTCAATCATCGTTCTATTCTTCCTTTGATATTTCGTAAATTACCCTAACCAAATCACCACAACAACCAATTAAAATCGCAGTCGACCCCCCAAGATACACTGTTCCAGCCCATTTATTCGCGATACAGCAATAATTGAATTGAAAGAGAAGCCATGGCGACGGTGGCTTTTCTCGGCCCACAAGGTAACATCCATCCAGCTGTGCAGGGTTTTCGGAGAAACCCGACGATGTTTTGCTTTTTCAAATGGATTACACGGGTTACACGGGTTGCGGCAGCTTGGAATATGTACCGATACTACCGATATTATAGGCATGTATTGTAATATTAAGACAATCTTGGCTGTGGTACCGGAGCCATGGAAATGTCCTTTTCAATGCAAATTTGGAGTTGTTTTAATCTTGGTGATTCTAATAGTAGCTCCATATTGGATTATAGTGTGAGACTGTCTTCCCTGCCGAAGAGTGAAAGTGATAAATTCAAAGAGACTCGCCATCCAAGAGCCTCACGAGACAGTTCGACATCTTGGAGTCACAATAGTCCAGCAAGTCGCGGCGTAGGACACCATGTAAGGGATAGGCAGCGGCTTGGTATAGCACTAACCATACTCCTACCACCTTCGTAAAGAAATACGCAAATATACAAGAAAAATACGGATCAAGGTGACAAAGACAGTAACATGAGTATGAAGCAGTCCAGTCACAAGAAAAAAGCATCAAGTCTTCGGAAAACTTTCGGAAAACTTTTGCTGGTAGTCTCTGTAGCTCGTCGCTCGGTGAGCTGGTGACAGCGACCCCTAGCTGCCCGGGTAAATTTCGTCCATTACCAACAGTGTACATTCTTGAAGTAGATTCCAAATATTGTAGCAGACGTATGCGCGGAGTTATTTTGACTAGTTTCTATTGCCGATGCACTCCGGTGAGAAGATACTTGGCCGGCAAGTTGAGGTGTGTGGTGTCAACGAAAGGAAATTCCTAGCGAGACATGATGATTTAGAATACCATGTGGATTACAAAATCTGAAGGCAAAAGCTCCGCACCCACCGGAGATCCATAGAGAAAGTAACAAGAATTTGAAGATAGCTATCGATATGAAATTGCCGTGAACCTATCTATCTCCTACACAGGAAACATCTCTGTGAAAAGGCACTCGAGCACTCACTCGAATGACCTCGGGGCCCATACCGTCTGTGTGTTTAAGGGTCCAATGTGAAAATCTCTGCCAGAAATTGCAAATCGGCCGAAAACAACTGTCTACGCATTTCTCACATAGCATAGTTCCCGCAATGCAGCGACGGCTATAGGTGGAGTAGATCATCCGACCCTGTAATTTGATATCTTTACAGACCTTGAATTCAAGACTTGATTTGAGGTATTCTCGTCACGGTTCAGTTTGCACCTCGGGCTTCGCGGCGCGCACAGAAGAAAATGGATACCTCGATGGCGAAAAAATGATGTGAATAACGAATGGCAAAACTTGAAGTGCAAACATTGCGTTGAGGGTAATATCCGTACCGGGGTAGGTCTCGAAGCAAGTATTAGGTCCTGGTACCTTTCTCCTCACTTCACATAATGCCTCGCATTTAGTGGCTGGCTGTCGCACAAGATAGACGGCTCCCTGCACAAAGTCACTGATTCAATGGTTGAATTGTTATCTCCCAATCGGAAAGACAGGAGGAAGTGAGCCGTCTAGTTCCGCTATTACAGACTCGTATCAAAGAGGGATATGGACTAGTATGTTCGATGGGCGTGCTTCATGGCATCGATTGACAGAAAACAGAAGTTTCGTCAACAGACAAGAGTTTCGATGATGTCGATAAACTCTTGCGACTTACCTGTTTGTTGATACAATGATGTCGTTTTGACCAGTGTAGATTTGAGTTTCAAGCTTCGTCGATAGTGCATGATTCTAGAAGTTACTTACTGTAGCTACTGTACGTACAGTACGGAGTGCATGCATATCTGTAGCTTGGAATTGGGAAAGCTATATGCCAGTGGGATATAATGTCCCATCAGTTAGAGCCTCCATACTTTGGAATCGCCTCAACCCGGTGACTAGAATGCGGCACGAATCGTAAGATTAACAGCAAAGTTACTTCTGAGAGTAAACAATCCGAGATCTTCCAGACAGTGCGTATACGGACTAGAGGAGAAGTTTAGCTACCTCTCCACTTTGGTTGAGAGTGAAAAACACCCACCTAGCAAGGAATCGGTATGGCGTGGATTGAACATCAGTGATGCTGGTAAGGTATGGACGAGCCTGGAAAGATCATGGTTTTTTTTAGGGATTAGGTATTGATCAGCGACAGGGATCGATATAGTGATCTTCTAGGGTTTACCGGGTAACGCCACACTAATGGAAACCTAATATCAGCGGTGGATCGTGATGTCGGAGTGGGTACAGCGATGAATGAATAGCGAAACGTGATTGTTAAAACTTTGGTGGTCATCACCGTCGTCATTGGCAGTGAGTAGCGAGAAGCTTGAGATGCTACACTGGAGTTAGATTAGAGTAAGATGAGGATTGGCGGACTTCACGATCGTGAGAAGAGATTTGGAACGGCAAACGCAACCAGGAACGACCTCGTGCAGCGTTAGATTGAATGTGGCAAATTGCAATCTTTCCATCTAGCTGATACCAGTACCAGGTTTGTGATAGCTTGCAGTTTAGAAGCTCCAGCTGCTATAGAAAGAAGGCTGAAGGCAAACGATTTTCATCCGGGAAAGCCTCGGGCTGCGAGGATAATTGGCAATCAATGATCTAATGTCAGGTGTATACTAATCATGTCTGTGTACAGATTGCGGAGTCCCAATCGTAGAATTTAAGGAAAGTTTAATTCCTTTTTACGGTTATGGTAACCTTACCTGGGGAATTTTCCCTTGGTTTTTCGGAATATTTTACTTTATGCAGTATCGTTGTAAACTGGGAATACTGGTTGGGTGGAAGCAGATTCGTACACCCGAGGATTTATACACTCTATTAGCGCTAATGACTCGATGATTTGCGTGGAGACTATATGATAAAACATAGGGCGTTGGTGAGTGTAATGTGGCTGTCACTAATACACACGAGGTAACTCAGGTAAGA